TGATAGGATGCTGATAAGGAGGAATATCTAAATATTTAAAAAGAATTAAGAGGTAAAATGATCAAAGTTTATACCAAGAAAGTACAACTCTCGTCCTTACAGAGTGATCAAATATCACTTTAACTGCAAGCTATGGTAACACGGGAAATGCTAAGTTCCCGTTACGGAACCATCCATTCGAGAGTTATAATCGTTGGATACACATGTAAATAGTATAAGATAGATGATTTAACAGTTAAAACGCCTGACGGGATAGTTCGTAACGGGACCATAACATTTCACTGATAACACATATAAAAACTATCAACAATGGCTAATTCTTGGTCTTTTATGTCAAGTTTTCTTTTACTAAAATACCATTATGAGTATTAATTATTACTCATTTTTTTGGCAATCAGTCATTCATACCATAAAGACAAGTGGTATGAAACGTTTTGCTATGAAGCCAATAGTTGGCTCCATAGTAGAGTCAACCTTCTATATCAATAAATAAACCTACCATATTAACAAAATTATATGGTAGATTTATTTATTGTATATAAAAAATTGGCTCCATAACTGTTGGTTTCATAGCAAAAAGGTGAAACCCATTGCCCAATTTTGTGAAAGTCATCCCTTTGTCATATCCTACTTTAAAGTTTAAACCAGACACCTTCATTTGTTTTTATTTTCCTACTCTCTTTTGCGGCCGGTGGGCCGGTGGCGGTGAAGTAAAGGAACGAGGCCCGTGTGTTTTCTGATTGGATTATAAAGCCCACTTACCGAACGAGTGGGCCTGTACTAGATCACGAGTCGGTTCGGTTCTCTCATATCCGAGTACGTCCGCACAAGGTTCATCACTGAATTACATGCGCTCATAGACGTGTCTAAAAGTTGGGTCAGTTCACGACTCGGCCAGGCCCGCTGGGCCGACGGGCCTTAAATGTTGGACCCAGACCGGCCCGGCTATATCTAAGGGCCGGTTCAAATGAACCGGGTGTATTCGTCGACCGATAATAAATATAGTATGAGCACGACAGTGTAATATGTACGAAGAAATATGGCATTCACTATTCAATTATATGAAAATATGAAAAATGTTTCACTTGTTTCATCATGAACACATTAAAATACTTGCCATCACGTTAGTGATAGACATAATAAATCCGTATTTATAACAAACATGAAAGTAGGAGTTTACGTATGAGAATACATGAGTTTTTTAATTAACCTTAATAATAATTAATTTCGATCCAAAATGATGATTGACGGTTGTCTACCCATTGATGTAAATATCAAATGGTATATCAAATGATGAATTTAGATTCGAAATCCAATTTATGTAAAAACAATTGGGAAATGGAGTAATAATAGATTGAAATGAAGCACTGATCTTGGCTCTTATGATCTCGGCTGGCCCTCCATTTCCCTAGCCCTTACAATGCAAGCAATGGCAAGTAGAATATTTTTTTTATTATTATTATTTTTATTTTATCAATGATATAATTTATCTATAAATTATGTTAAAATACAGAGCCGTCTCCAGAAATTCGGAGGCCCTAGGCAAGTTTTTTTTTTCAAATTTTCTCGATTTGAACTTACGTGGTAATTAGGGCTATTCGCAGATATAATCATAAATTTTAACGAGACTATTAAATAAATAAATAACTAATTGAAAAAAAAAAATTGTTTTTCTTGAACTTGGAATTGATAAATTACCTCGGGGCTACAAAGATCTTTAATAAATTACAATCAACCAATCACGAGGACAACAAAGAGAAGAAAATAAAAATCATATCACTACAAAGAATATTTATTTTCACACAACTTGTTCTGACCGAACATCATATTAAAACAAATGAAATATTTAGGGCCTCAATTTTCCACACAAACTACATATTTTGCCATTAGCTTATTCATTTGTGTAATGGCTCAAACCCATATTTAGCCATTAACCCTTTCATTTGTGTAATTATTGTGTAAATAGACAAAATCCAACATAAATACATAATATTAAAAAAATAATGAGACCTTATTTATGTAGATAGACAAAACTCAACACAAATACATAATATTGAAAAAAAAAATATAATGAGGCCCCAAATAAAATAGAGGCCCTAGGCCCATGCCTAGGTTGCCTCCCCTCTAGAGCCGCCCCTCGTAAAATATGAAAAAAACAGTGAGGGTTTTTTTACTTTATTTAGTAAATCGCTATTCAACGCATCCTATTACTACGTAACCCTCTACAAATTTGTCCTTAACTTTTTTTTTTCTATAATTTCTCTCTACTATCTCTATCTCTCTAAAATCTCGATTTTCAATGAGCCATATGAGCTTCAAACATATTCTAAAATTTGTCAAAAAATTCTACGGCCTCAGCATGATTCTTCAGCGGCAAGGTATTTTTTTTCGTTTAAATAATTTTTGATTTTTTCTTTTAATTTTGTCGCCGCGTCCGGTCGGGACTACCGCACTCGGCCAGGCCGTACGGACCGTGATTGCGTACGGCCGTGATTGCGTACGGCCCAAAGGGCGATCGGTCACCCTCCACAGGCGTCCGACATTTGTCGGCCGGGCACCGCCCTATTTGTGCGTGTTCCGGGGCCGAAACCGGCCCCGCCGGCCGGACACTACATTTTTTTATTAATTATAATTAATTATTATAATTTATAAGTATTATAATTTAAAAAAAAAATATTATATTAATAAATAAAAAATTATAGTAATTAATTTATTTGATAAAAAATATTAATTATCATAATAATAATAAATTACTAGATATTATAAAATTAATTAATTAATATTATAATAGTTATTACAATAATTATTAAATTCAAAATTAATTACTAATTATTATAATTAATTTCAAATTTTATTATATTTAATTAATTCTTATCATTAATATAAAATTTGACTTAAAAAAAGTTAATTGAAAATATATTAATATATATATATATATTAATCATTAGTTGTATTAAAAAAATTATATAACTATTTTGAAAGCAATATATTAAAAAATATAAATATATAATTTATTAAATATATATATAACTTTCAAAATAGTTTATATTTATTAAAATATATATATATATATATATATATATATATATAACTTTCAAAATAGTTATAATAAATTATATATATATTTTTAATATATCCTAACTTTCAAAATTATTATAATAAATTATATTTTTTTTAATATGTCCTTTAATATATATATATATATTTATATATATATAATTGTAATTATCGTATTACATAAATTTTATTAAAAAAAAATTACTAATTATTACTTTAAATTGTTGATTTAGGGTCTTCGTAGACCCGGACAATCTGCCAGGACGACGACCAGGCCGATGAGTATTATGAAGGTTCTAGACCCCGACACACTAGAAGT